GATCATACTGTTTGGCCTCTTGGATTAGGCAGGTGGTGAGGTATTTGGACTTGTCTGCCAGGATTTTCGCTAGAGGTGGTTGCAACAGGGAGAGTCTCAGGAGCCTTCTCTGGAAAGACTGCATTGATGGACAGACCTTGGCCTAGGCCTGGGATGATGTAGGGTTGTTGACTTTGTTCCAAAGGCTCTAAGTTTTGACAGGGACTTTCTGCCTTTCCCAGTTTTCTTGGTCTTGAGGGGAAGGGAAGGACATTGCCCTAAAGTGGCCCTGTGGTTGATACCTAGCATCTTGGGCAGCTTCAAGCACGGCTCCTAAAACAATGCCCTGCGTCCTTGGACTACACAGCGAGTGTCTACACTGTCACTCTGAGACCTCATTGGAATTTGAGGATTGGTTAACATGGGTCCCAAGCAGTATTCCCTGTCCCCATAACACTCTGAACTGGGTGCCTGACCCATCTGGGGTCCAGAGTGCTTGACAATGAGCCAGTCATGACTTGCTGAGAGCTCACTGGTCCCAGTGAAGAGGTGTGGAGAGGCTGTGGCACTGCTTCCCAAAGCTCTCAGTGATGATGCCAAAGGCATTTAAATCCACCCGCTGGAAAATCTGCCGTCCGTATCTGAAATTCGGCCTATGTGGAAAAGTTTGGTTGGCCGGTGGTTAATGTTAATTAGGAACATTTTCAAACATCCACTTGACGTACCCATTGTCCAGTTCAATAGCTACTAACATTTTTCCACTTTTGCTCCAACTGAATTAAATTCCATAACATTCTGTCATTTCACCCCTACATATCCAGTGTGCATCTCTTAAGGAATATGGACATTTTCTACATAACCACAATGCTATTCTCATACCTAAAAAGATTAACAACACCTTCAGTTATTAGAGGATTTGTGTGTGTGTGTGGAATCTCTTCCCTTTGTAGGGGGAGGGTTGCCCGCGCAGTAGGGGGTCATGCAGAAATCTCCACGGAAGCTGTGTTTCCTACTGGGGAATGTGATGTGCTGGGCTCCATCCTGCTTTTGGCAGGTGGACTACTTAAATCTGTATATTCATGTTATGTGGAGCAAAACAGCCCTTTTCCCAGGATCAGAGGGAAGTCGCCTCATAAGCCAGTGACCATTAGGATATATTTTGGACAGGGATGACTCATAAAAACTCAGGACTTGCCATTTTTGGTCAACCAATCCATTTCCCAAGAGGTATCTAGCCACTTGGGCAGCATGAGGTCCCTGAGGCCACACTCACCAGAATGTCCTGGGCGCCATTGGGGATGGGGGCCTGAAGGAGTGGCCATGGAAATGGGAGCTGAGCACTGGAGTTACCCTGCTGTGTAGAAACCAGATAGTCAAGCTATTTACAAGACATCGAGCCAGACAGTGTCTTGGTTTTTGAAGGTGCATCCCAGTGAAAAGAAAAAAACAGGCGACATGGGAAGTTCAGATTTGCCAAGTCTGGGGGTATTTTCTTGTTTGGTTGGTGTTTTGGTTTAGTTTTGTGTTTGGAACTAAGAACTCACATAAGCACAGCCCAGCAGCTGTGGTCTGCCCTTTCCCAGCAGGTCTCTTACATTAACTTTTGTGATGGCCTTGTCCCTTTGTTTTGTCTTCCCTGCCTGGAGATACTTGTCTGGGTCAGCCCAACTCTCAAGAGGTTCCATCAAGATCATGCATCCATGCCCTAGCTGGTTTGGTTCAATGGTTAAAGTGTCGTGGTGCGGACTGCAGGGTTCCAGGTTCATTTCCGGCCAAGGGCATGTACCTGGTTGCAGGCTCAATCCCTGGCCCTGGTCAGGGTGTGTGTGGGAGGCAACCAATCGATATGTCTCTCTCACATCGATTTTTCTTTCTCCCTTCCACTCTTCTCTGAAAAACAATGGAAAAAATATCCGTGGGAGAGGATTTTAAAAAAAAAAAAGATCGTGCATCCAAAAACCAGCTCTGTCACTTCTAAGTCTTCTCTAGCAGGGCACCTACTGCTAGAGAAGGAACACTGCTCCTTTCTAAGGTGCAGGTGGTAGGTGTCTCAGCTTCTTCCTGACCTAACACCTGTCGGGATCCACCAGGTCTCAGGCAGGAACACCCACATTTCTTGTTCTGAAGAGTTTCCATTCCATACCCTTCAGTGCCCATCAGCATGCAGGCCTTGTGAGCGTACCCAGTGCTGCCAACAGGGTCATAGGAGGGGTCCCTGCCTTGCAGACACCATGTGGGCAGTGTCCAGGTGCTGGCTAAAAACAGAGAAAGGAGAAGAAAGCAGGTCCTTTCTCATTTCAGCTCTTGAGTCATGCTAAGTAGGGGGACATGTCAAGGTGGCTCAGTCTCCACCCCTTGTAGTCCTATGTATTCTAGAAAGACCGAACCTAAGGTAGCCCCAGAGCCACAGAGCTCCTGCAGTATTTCCCCCACCTCCTTCCTCCCTGCCCAACCCCTTATGTCTGCCTCAGGGTCACCCAGGTCACAGTGATATTTCCATCCCTGCATACATGGCCTCTAAAGCCCCGCTCCAGATGGTCCCAGGCTGACTGGTAGTGTGAAGGGGAAGGTGGCATAGCAGCAGACCTGTCACTGTCCAAACTAAGGGGCTCCTGTCCTCAGCCTGACCGCCCAGCAGCACCTGGTCCTTGGGGGGCTGCCAGTCAATGGCTGGCCCTCAAAGTAGCCATTCTTGCTGGGCACAGTATGCTGGGGTTGTGTCCAGGGCACCGAGGCTGAGCAGCTGTCCTGCTGGCCCTGTGGTCAAGTCTCAGGATAGATTTCACCCACTGGTAGGTGGCAGGTTAGGACACAGCCTTCCTGGGGACCCTCACGGGAATGCCTGAAGTCCTGTGAGAACCAGGTACAAGCGGGGTCAGGGGAGCAGGTGACCTTGAAGAATCGCCAAGGGCACTTCACTTGGGCTTGCTGAGCAGTAAGAGCAGAACATCTGGTCCCTTTGACCTTTGGGCGTCAACTGGACAATCATGGTGCCCTCTTGCAGAACTCTGGTTTCTAGAGTAAGTTTAGGCAAGTTATGGAGTCCCTTTCAGGGCCTCCCTAACCCCTTATTGTTAAAAATTTCAAATACATAGTAGAAAAATTGAATGCATGGACAATAAGTTCCTGTATTACATCTTACCTGCCACCTAGATTCAACAGTTAATAGCATTTTGTCATATATGCTTCCTCAGTAGCTGAGATTTTTGGGGGGAACCATTTAAAGTTAGTTTTAGCCTGGCCGGGTGTGGCTCAGCGGTTGAGCGTTGACCTAGGATCCAGGCGATCAGGGTTCGATTCCCGGTCAGGGCACATGCCCGGGTTGCGGGCTGCAGCCGATCAATGACTGTCTCATCATTGATGTTTCTATCTCTCTCTCCCCCTCTCCTTTCCTCTCTCTGAAGTCAATAAAGATATATTTAAAAAAAAAAAAAAAGTTAGTTTTAAACCTCATGATAGCTCACTCCAGAGTGTTTCATTATACATCTCCTAAGGCTTTCTATATAGCCATTTACACCCTTTCACATCTGAGACAGTTAATAGCAATTTTATCTGCTATCTAGCTCATAATTAAATTTCCACAAAATGTTGTTTTGACTTTTATTTTTTCCAGTAGAGGTTTTACACATTACATTTGGTTATAGGTCGTCTTTTCTCTTTTAGTCTGCTTTTGTTTTTTTAATGACATTGACTTTTTGAAGAGACAGGTTACTCATCTTGTAGAATATCACCATTCTGTGTTTGTTGGATGTCATGATGCTGTTGAATGTACATGCCTGTGTGCCTGGTATTATCTGTAGTTGTGAAGTTAGGTCTGGAGGCACTACTGGCTTCAGGCCCAGCATTTTAGATGGGAACCTGAGGGCTTTGTGGATTTTGCATGCATGGCACTAGTCAGAGAAGCTGGGCTGCATCACTAGAGGAATTGTGACTGTGGGATCTTGAGGTTGAAAGGCTTTTCCTTGGGGAGCAGTAAGTCCTGGGGGCACAGGTACTTTGCCTTCATGCCTCACACCTGCTCCCCAACACCCTCCACTGGGTGGTTAAAAGCCTTTGATGATTCTTGCTTGTCTCTTTATTTTCATCAGCAGTTCCAAAGTGATGACATTCCAATTCTATCATTTCTACTTTTATTGTTTGTCATTCTTCTAGAATTTCCTAGAAATTCTAGGAAAGAATTTTTCCTCAGCCCTCAAGAATGAACTTCACAGTTCTTCCTAAAAAAGTGTGGTAAATGCATGATTCTTTGTCTTTTATCTCCAGCTTTCAACATAAAAAAAAGAATGTATTCTCTTTGTAAGAGTCCAATATTTAGCCTGTCTTCCTGCTACCTTGCCTTATCTTAACTGGACCAAGGGCAGCTGCTCTATCAGCAACCTGGACTGAATGTAGTTTACTGATTAAAAATAGTTGTCAGCAACTCCTGATCCCTGATTTGAACCTCTGATGTCTTGCAAGTCTCTCTTTTTTTTGCTCGTGAGTCTTTATCTGCTGGATAAGGGAGGAGAAATGACCCACCCAGCAAGTGCCAATTCTCCTGGAAATACAGCAGATCATTGGCCGCTGGCCCAGGTTGGGAGAAGTCATATGTTTTGTGCAAAGGAGAAATGACACAGGCCAGGGAGGAGTGGTGCTCAGAGGACAGCTCATAGGGACAGAGAGGAGAGAGAAAACTGACCAGAGGCAGGCTGCTCTCTGGGGGCTCAGGAGTGTCCTGAGTGAGTAGCGAGGGGATCCTTGGTCCCCATCCTGCCAGCCCTTCCCAAGCCTTAGTTTCCTTGTCTGCAATGTGAGAGCAACTGTGACACCTGTTGTAGGGGATTATTATGAGGGACAGAAATGCTCCATGCAATTACTGAGGGGACCGCCATCCCTGGGGATGGCATTAGTCTTTCCATCATTCCTGCCTCACGGGTTAGAAGGAGGAAGAGGAAGTGAATGCGCCATGATGGGGTCTGTGGGCTGGTGGGCGTGTTTAGGGGAGGTTCGCTGCCCTCCTGACCCCGCTTCCCTCCCTGCAGGTGTGAATGACAGAGGTGGTACCATCCAGTGCCCTCAGTGAGGTCAGCCTGCGCCTCCTCTGCCACGATGACATAGACACTGTGAAGCATCTGTGTAGCGACTGGTTCCCCATCGAGTAAGTTAAGTGGCACCCTCTGCCCCACAGCTGCAGATTGGAGGGGTGGGGGTAATGCCCATGGATCCTCTGAAGCTAGGAGGCTGTGCAAAGGCGAGGATGACCAGGAGGTGCCATGGTCACCGAGTCAGAGTCACCTTGCCTGTCAGAGAAGCCCAGGTCCTGCTCCCTGATGACCATCACATCCTTTCCACCTCACTGTGTTCCTTATGTGAAGAGTTCTCCAAAAGGGCTTTGCTGAGATACTTTACCTACAAAGATGTTCAGTGCAGTGCAGTTTATAAATCAGAACATTGAGAAACAAGTATCTTAACAGTAAGGAATGACTGACATAGATTAGGCTGTATGCATGCAAAAATGCAATATTCAGCCAGGAAAAGTAAAATGTGTCATTGAGATATATTTGATAAAGAGAGTTTTTTTAATGAGATATTAAGTGAAAAAGGCAGACTAGAAAATTGTATGTACCACAGTTCCACTTTTATTTGAAAACATGCACAAGATAAAAGCCTATAAAAATATGTACCATCTAGTAAAGTGTTTTTGGTGATTTGGGGTAGGTAGACTATTAGTAGCTACAAGTTTGTTTCGTTTTACTCTTCTGTACTTCCTCCATTTTTCTATAATATGCACATAGAGCTTTTGTTGTGAGAAAAATAGATGCAAACTTTTCAAAATTAAAAATAAACAGGATCCTGCTAAACATCATGTTTCTATGAGTCTTAACCTCAGATTTTACCCACTGCAATCAGGAGAGGAGCTTGGGTGATGCCAGGCCCCATAGAGCCTCCTGGTGGGTGGTCAGTGGCTTCTGCAGAGCAGACCTGAGCAGAGTACCTCTCCACTGTGTCTCCACAGTGGAGGGTCTGATACCCTCTCCCAGCTCTTGGTCTCAAGAAAGGCATCTGGGCTAACTTGTTATGTCCCAAGTTAAGAAACAAACCCACAAACCCATAAAGCTCCAAGTGTCCTGTCCCCCTCTCCTTACCTGGGGCTGAGTCATTGTCTTTCATTATTGTGTTGTAGGGCTTTGCATGAAATGTTCCCTTCTCTGCTTCCCTTGGGCTTCCATGGGTCTTGAGTTTAAACTCTTCCAGCTACACCTCCAGGCACTGCTCTCCTGGAGACAATGTCATGGGAGGCTTTTCCCCCCCTCTCATTTCTACATCTTGTAAAAATCATTTTCCTATCAGAAATTCCCCATCCTGTCTGGATAGATTGCTGCTTTAAGAGGTTGATTCACTGAGAATGCTACACTTTGGTGGAGACTAAGTGGTAGGCAGGCTTCTTATCAATCCTGGAGCAGTGGACAGAGTAGCCTCGAGTTCCCTGTGGGTCCACTGTGTGAAGCACGTTAATTGGACTTGGCCTTTGACAATTTCACCTGAGTTTGTTCTCCTCAGGTACCCAGACTCATGGTATCGTGACATCACCTCCAACAAGAAGTTCTTTTCCCTTGCCGCAACCTACAGGGGTACCATTGTAGGAATGATAGTAGCTGAAATAAAAAGTAGGACCAAGATACACAAGGAGGTAAGTGTGTGCGGCGATGATGGGCCTGCCAGGGCCTTGGGACAGAATCATGCTGCCTGCTTTATGGCCCTTTCTCGTAGGAGCCCAGACCTCCCGCGTATGAGACTCATACCCAGATGGTTTCTTTCTGTGTGTACATAATACAGTCATGTGTGTTAAGTAACAAGTCCTAACCACAGGCTTCTTTCTAATGACTGTCATTTTGAAGTTGGGAGGGACATAAACGGTCCGTCCACTGAGAATCTGCAGAGTTGTAAGGGACTGTGATTTGTATTGGTGGCGGTCACAGAAACTGCTGATACTGCTGTGGTTTGTTGAAGGAAATACTAAGTTTCAGTTACAAGTTAGTAAAAATAAAGACTTTTCCCCCCCATTCAACTTCATAGACCCTCCAAGACCTATCTAAGAACCACAGAGAATCTTTGGACCCCAAGTTAGTAAGTCCTGCTCTAAATGTAAAATATGTGGTTATGGTCACCAACACATTGTTCCATGTGGTTGCAATTAAGTAGCAGTTACCACTTGGGTATTTACTCCAAGGAGGGGAAAACCCACCAATAAATGGCAACTGCTTCTATCTGTTTGGCTTGAGGCTGAAGGATCTCTCTCCCTTTTAAAACTGGATTTACTCAAGCCTACCCTAATTTGCCTATAATTAGATTCTGGCAAAGTTGGTTTATTTTATTTCTTTATTTTATTTTTTATTTTTTTAAAATATGTCTTCATTGATTTTTAGAGAGGAAGGGGGAGGGATAAAGAAATAGAAGCATTGATGAGAGAGAAATATCAATCTGCTGCCTCCTGCACGCCCCCTACTGGGGATTGGGCCCGCAACCCATGCATGTGCCCTGACCAGGAGTTGAACTGGTGACCTTTTGGTTCATGGGTCAGTGCTCAACCACTGAGCCACATCAGCTGGGCATTGTTGGTTTATTTTAAAAGTAACTTTTCTATCCTAGCTTTCTTCTGAGTTGTTTTTCTTCCATTACTCAGTGCCAAGATACAGCAAAAAAAGAAACATTGGAGTTTTCAGCAAGCATCAGTATCTTTTTGATCTTTCCTTTCTCAGAACAGACTGTCCCACCTTCCCCTTCCCTGACTTGTTCCCCAAAATTCACTCTATGAAGCCCTTCTGTGTGCCCCCAGCAACTGTCCAGCCCCACATGCCTGGTGACTAGATCTCTGTGTTCCTTTGAATGTGTGGGTTTTCCCTTGAGGGCAAAGATCGGGAGCCTTCTAGTCTCTGGGTATCAGGAGAGGGAGCCTTTGCACTCTGGCACTTTCTCAGGCCCTACTGAGAGGCCGAATGAATTCAACACTGGGGAAAGCAAACAAGGGCTATTAGAAGACATCAGCTGGGGAACCAAGTGCCTTCCTTACCTCCCTGAACGTTCCATGGGCTTCAGGTAACAAGAGCGATGAAGATGCTCACCTCCCTGAGACTGAGTTTGCCTATGTCCAGCTCAACTGTGGTATGGAGTGCCGGATCTGGGGCTGAGGCCAGGAAAGTGGGGAGTAGGGACAGGGACAGGCCAAACCCATGCCTGGCACATGGGAGCAACTCAGTGAACAGTGGATGGGGATCAGAGAGGCCAAGTCACCAAGCTTTCTTTCCATGGGGGATACCAAGCCTTCTTTACAAAGTAGAACATCATGATGAACCTCATGGTGGTTGAATTCACAACTCTCTCAGTCCAGAATTTTATCTCTGGAACCAAGAGACATATATGGGTTGGTGGGGGGTGTCGTGCCACTCTGCCTGGTGTGGACAGCACAGGGGCCACCCAAACTCCCCCACCCTCTGTACTGTAAGACCACCTGGGGGTGGGGGGGGATCTTTTAGTTAAACTTTTTTTTAAAGATTGTTTTAAAATTGATTTTTAGAAAGAAAGGAAGGGAGAAGGAGAGAAAGAAACATCAGTCTGCCTCCTGCACGCCTCCTAATGGGGATTGAGCCTGCATCTGGGCATGTGCCCTGACCAGGAATCAAACCAGCAACCTTGTGTGGGACAAAACCCAACCAACTGAGCCACACCAGCCAGCACTAATTAAACTTGTAAAACTTTGTGTTTGTCTGGACTGTTTGGTCTCTTGGTGTGTCAGTTGACAGGTATGAGTACCATTTAGTGCCCACACAGCATAGTCATTTCCTTTTTACCATCATAGCCCATCATAGCTTCACTTGTCTGGCATCACTGTCCTTCCTTGTATGGTCTGTCACCCATTCCAAAGAGAAGTGACTTCATGAGTGTTCTTTTTTTTTTTTTTAATCCTTACTCAAAGATATTTTTTACATTGATTTTTAGAGAGAGTGGAAGGGAGGGAGGGAGGCGGGGAGAGAGGGAGAAGGAGAGATATCAATGTGAGAGAGACATCAATTGGTTGCCTCCCACACTTGCCCTGACCGAGGCTGGGGATTGAACATGTAACCCAATATGTGCCCTTGACCAGGAATCGAACCCACTACCCTTTGGTGCATGAACCAGTGCTCTAACCACTGAGCAACACTGACCAGAGCTGTGAGTGTTATTTCAGCAGAAAGGCCCACACCCTCTTCTTTCCATTACCCTCTGTTCTATCACTTCCTGCCCCAGTGTCCTCCCAGGTATTGTGGCTGGGAGAGTTAGCACTTGAGATGTGTTCTGCAGTGGGACCAGGTATCTCAACTGAATCTGATTTTATTTCTGACCTTTTTTTTTTTTAGGATGGAGATATTCTAGCCTCCAGCTTCTCTGTTGACACTCAAGTTGCATACATTCTAAGTCTGGGAGTAGTGAAGGAATTCAGAAAGCACGGCATAGGTAAGGGGCAGCTGAAATCATGATTCTTGGCACATAGACCCCACCCACATCAAGTCACTTCCCGAATCCTGATGATTTTCTTCTCATCAATGTCCCTTTGTCTCTTCTTCTACCCCTCTTCCCTCTGTCTTGGGTCAGACCTTCATCTTTCCTCCCAACCTCTCCCCTACCATTGACCTTCAGTTCAGCCCATGCTCTTTCCATGAATTACCAGGTCTTTCTGCTATGGCCTCGTTCCCAAATCTGACGATATCAGATTACTAACAGCTCCCAAAGGTCCTCATTACAGAATGGGCACCTCTTAACCACACCTGCTACCACACACAAGCTCATGTCTGGTCAGAAGGTATGCTTGATTAAGAGTAGAAAACATAAATGATGAACTAGTCCTAGCTGCCATGTATCATATCCCTGTCACATCTGGGGTGCTGTGCCATCCGTATGTCTCCAACTTCCCATCCCACTCAGCCACAGCAGTCTTCATTGTAACCCAGGCCTGCCCATTCCACATTTTCCAGGGCTTACGTTTACATTTTTTGTTGTCTGAAAGGTTAGTGAATCTCCACTGTGGATCCAGCCCCTGGGAGGGAACTATGCAGCTGGGATCCATCGTCCTGGACACCCAGTGGTCTGCAGCTAACGGGCCTGTCTGGCTGTGGGATTTTAGGGACTTTGACAGTGGGCGGTTATGGGAAGTCTTTGATACAATGGCAGAGAGATCTGTAGAGATATCTCTGCAAAGGTTACTTCCTTGTCTGTCTCATGCTTCCTTCTCACCTGCTCTGCCATGTGTGACTGTTGCCTCTTTGCCTACAGGTTCTCTTTTACTTGAGAGTTTAAAGGATCACATATCCACGACTGCTCAAGATCATTGCAAAGCTATCTACCTGCACGTCCTCACCACCAACAACACAGCAATAAACTTCTACGAAAACAGAGACTTTAAGCAGCACCACTATCTCCCCTATTACTACTCCATTCGTGGGGTCCTCAAAGATGGCTTCACCTATGTCCTCTACATCAATGGTGGCCACCCTCCCTGGACCATCCTATATCCTTTTCTTCTCAGGGCTGAGGGACTGTGGCTTCCTAGCACCAGCGGAAGTTGTGGTTGCTTTCTGATGATGTTCATGAGGCCCAGCTCACAGGATGCTTTTTCCCCATGAGATGGTAGTGTGGGTAGATCTGGTTTACATGTATTGGGAAATGTTGGTCTGATTGCAAATATTAGGAAAGCAGATGTGCTCTGGCATGCAGTATTCCCTAGACTTTAGTCAGATATGAGTGGTGNGGAAATGTTGGTCTGATTGCAAATATTAGGAAAGCAGATGTGCTCTGGCACGCAGTATTCCCTAGACTTTAGTCAGATATGAGTGGTGGATTTTTATTTTTTTTTAAATCCTCACCTGAGGATATTTTTTCCATTGCTTTTCAGAGAGAGTGGAATAGGAAGAGAGAAAGAGAAACATCGATGTGAGAGAGACACATCGATGGGTTGCCTCTTGCATGTGCCCAGACTGGGGCTGGGGACAAATCACCCCAGATGCATGCCCTTGGCCAGAATTGAACTGGGGACCCTCCTGTTCCTGGTATGTGGGGGCTACAACAGTGAACAAAATAGACAAAGCCCCTGCCTTTGTGGGGCCTGTGTGCTGGCAGAGGAGAAAGCAAACAAGTGAGGTGAAAGAGTTGTTTGCTGTTCTGAACAATTAGCTTCAAACCTTTCTTATCAGAGTGTGAGGTATGTGACCCAATGGTGTTTCTTCCCTGCTCCCTTCCCTTTAACTCTCTCTAGCCCTTGACAGGTAGGAGGGAGGTTAGAAGACTTCTTAATAGTCATAGGGTGTGACCCAGAAAATACTGTGTGTGTGTAATTAAGTAAATGAGTCTAGGATTTATCCATTTCATAGGGAAATAAACAGGAAAGAAAAAGGTGTCACAAAGCTCACAGGCCTCCATGCTCATGTGAAGATGGGTTTCTGTGCTGTCTAAGGATTTATCACTGTTGACCCCCTCTGTGTCACAGGGATGAGGCCCTGCCCCTCTGAGGACTGAGGGGAGGAGGAGGACCAGAAACACTTGCTCTTCTGCTGTACCCCTCCCTGCAGCACCCAGTCCCTGTCCGTCAGCCTTAGTCTGGGTGTCCATGTGCCTGAGGCCTCACCTGAAAGGTCCTCTTGTACCCATGTTCTGCCCTTTATTATCTTGCATAGTGGATGCCCCTCCATTTAAAGGTTTTCTAGCACTCTGCACAGGGTAAGCGGACTCTTGGCCTCCCTTGAGAATAGCGTGCTGTCTGCACAGTCCTGCAGGTTGCTGTTCAGGCCCCTGCTGACAGTGCCATTCCAGGGGTGTGTGGGCAGGGAAGGCGAGTTGGAGTCTTCCTTAACAGAGTCCCACGGACTACATCCAGCACCTGGGCTCTGCTCTAGCAAACCTGAGCCCCTGCTCCATCCCACACAGGATTTACCGCCAGGCCCACAGCCTGCTCTGCAGCTTCCTACCATGGTCGAGCATCTCCACCAAGGGTGGCATTGAATACAGCCGGACCATGTGATGCCAGCCGGGCAGCCTCCAATAGGTCCCACCCCTCGGCGCCCTGCGGAGCCCACCTTCCTGGCCATCTGACCTCAGCTGTGCTCTGCAGAGGAGCCAGCCCGTTGCCTGCCCCAGCTGCAGGCCCGGTGCTACATGGGCTCATGGGTTCTGGAGCAGAGCGTCCTGGGGCGGGTGTGCCCGGTCTCCAGCAGGTAAGCCAGAACAGGTGGTGGGGAAAAGGGGAGTAGAACTAAGTGGGATGATGGTCTCCCGAAGTAGAGGGCCTGGCACTTCCAACAATAAAAACAGAAGGCTCTAGATGAGCACTTGGTACACTGAGGTAGTTCCTGACCAACTCAGAAATTTGAAGGAGGAAAGCAGAGAGTCCTTGAGCCCTTGGCCAGAACTTTATCTTTTCACTTCTTGAACAACTTTCATAAAACTAATGCATTCACTGGGTTCAAAAATGGAAAAGGTATCAAAAGATCAAGCCCCTTCCCTCTCCACCCCTCCCCACTTCCATCCATAGCCACTTATTACCCTTCCAAGGGGTGTCTGGAGCTGCTGTATCTCAGGCATGCTTCCATAGATACTGCTTAGCAGCAGCTCACAGTGAAGCTCCCTAAGGTGGGCACCTTAGAGATGAGGGCTCTGTTCAGACATGGCCACTTCTGAACACCATGAGTACTATGGGGAGCCAGTCTCAGACCTGAGAGAACATCAGAGCTGGACAGGGTCATGGAAACCTTAGGGTTTATCCACTTGTTTATGGACACAGCCTAGAGCAGATTGGTGACTTGAGCCAAGCACTCAGCATGCTCCATGGCCACCTGGGCTGGCATGCCCAGTGCCTTGATTTTTGCTGGGACTAGAAGGGAGCCCAGATGTCCCTAGAAGGGACTCTGGGCCTAGAGAAGGGCTCATGCTTTAGGGGCACCCAGGACCTGCAGCAGGTTCCTAGGCCAGACATAGGGTGGGCTGTAGTGTTTCTGCAGAAGCCTTCACCCCTGCTCCCCTCTTCTCTCCTGCAGGCTCTTCCAGCCCTCCTTCCTGCTCTGGAAAATTCTACCCATGCTCTGCTCTGGCCCCCCATGTGAGTGCACCAGCTCCACAGGCTGGCCACAGTATTCATTGTGGTCAGTTCTGCTGCCCTGGGAGTAAGGGGGCAGGAGGGGGCTTCCTTCCCTGCACCTCCTCACTGGCCTCTTCCCCTGCACTACCCGTTCCTTCCAGCTCTTTCTTCCAAAGCCAGAATTAACTTCTGGGAGGGAGGAACCCAAGTGTTATGGATAGACTTGGTCCTAAAGACACAGGAGCCTCAGAACAATGAAGGGGTGAAATAAAGGGAATGCCAAACCCTTGTAAAGAACCATCCCTCAGAAGCCTGGGAAGTGGGAACAGCCCCTACCTCCCCAAGAGGGGCTGGCGAGTGGTGGGGGCTTTTCACCCAAGACAGAGCTCTGGAGCTTAGTTCCCTGACATGGTGATCAGGTAATGGGAAGGTTTCCCACTCCTCTGCTGGCAGTCCTGCTGTCTCAGAGAATGCAGAACTACCTATCACATGCTGGATGTGCCATTCAGTTGAACTGTGCAGGAAGCCGGGCTGCGGACAGGTGCTGGTGAGTGTCCCGGGGCTCTCCCCTCCAGCCCCCCAGTTCCACGAGATGCAGTACTAAGGCCTGACCAGATGCAGACAAGAAGAAACTGAGTGTGGTGTTTGATCAAGTAGGACCTGGCCTTTGAGGCTGGGGGTGGTCGCGTGCCTTGTGGTCCCTCAGCCTCTGTGGGCAGAGACAGGAGAGGTTGTGTCAGTGCCAGGAAGCATGCATGTGGACTTCACTTGCTTCCGTCATCCCCTCCACCCCATCCCCCAAAGCTGCTTGCTCCCTGCCCTGCCCTCCAGATAAAGGGGGTTGGCGGAGTCTTCCCAGCGTTGCTGCAGTGTCATGGAGCCACCACCACAATGCACCAGCCTGAGTGGGAGAAGGGGGAACAACCAGGCAAGGGGGGCCTCAGACTGGCATCCTTCCCTCCTTTGGAACTCCCAGCCCAGGGGCTCCTCTGGCCTTGTGGTGGTGGAAAGGGGTTTCTCCAGATGAAGGCGAGCCTGGGCAGGAAAAGTACTCCTCCTTCCTCGGCCATTTCATACTCTTCGCTGACCGGTCCCCACTCTGTGCTGACATTGGCTTTGAGCTGAGGCCCAGCTCAGTGCCCTCTCTAATCTGAATCAACGGTTATCATGTGGTTTTTATTTTTGCCCCTCGGGGTAAGGGAAGAGTCTTCCAGAAGGTTCTGCCTTGGACATTCATAATTGAGCCGAGGCCTTGTCCTGCCCCTTCCTCCTTCCCCTAATCACGGCAGTGTCTAGCCCAGTGTTGAACAGATTGTAGTGTTCTGTCTTATTACAAACAAATAAATAGACTTTAATTGGTCACATCCTGTCTTGCACTTTGGACCATTTCCTGTGGGGATTTGCCCCCTTGCTAGGGCGGTTGCTTTGGGCGGCCTAGGAGCTCTTTGTTGCTATCAAGTCTCGAGGATGGCTTCCAGCCAAAAGAACCAATTGTTTTGTGTAGCCCATTCTGCCAAATAATGCAGTCCTGGAGAAGAGCACAACTGGGTTCTTTTTCTAAACTCAGAAGATCCTCAAGCAGGTGTCCCCATTTGTTCAGGAGTCATCTTGGCTAGCTCTAGGCCTTGAGCTAGGGCTGGGTCCTCTGGGGTGTGCTATCCTGGCTTAGAGAAGGCTCGATTGGTGACTCAATGCAGTGGTCAGGTAGGAACCCTGGGCCAGTGCACTTTGTCACAGGAGCCTGGGGGACCGGGACCCCTGGACCAGGACAACCCATCGTAGGAGCCTGAGGCTGGGCCAAGCCCAGGACCACGTGCTTCCAGCAACTTCTCCTTGGAGCTTCTGGCCACCCTGGGAGCAAGGGGTCATGCTTGTCACCCCATTAGACAGATCAGGAAAACTAGTTCAGGGGCCAGAAGTTAACCAGGAGGCACACAGCTCTTGAACAGCCCCTCCAAAACCTGTGTGTATACTGCTCCCTGAGAGCGGAGCATCACCCAGACAGCCCTCTGCAGGACAGGGCCTAAGGCATCTGCAGAGTTGGGTGTTGGAGAGCCCATGGGGTTATGTGGGGGCCAGTATTGAATGGAGGTCAGTGAGCTGGTTTTCTTGTCTCTTGAGTCCTAACAGTGTCCTGGGTACTGTGAGTTATACTCTTATCGAGGCAGATACATCTTAATGGGTCAGCTTTAGGGTTAAGGAGTGACTCCTTGGAGCCCTTGGTCAGTTGTGGCCAAGTATCAACTTGCAGGGGCGTGTAGGGGTAGGGATTGTGGTGACCGTTGCCCTGAAGGCAACTGTGCCCTTCCAGCTCATTGGGCTTCAAGTACAGGCTCCCAAGGGCTACAACTCACTCCTGGTGGGCTAGTTCCAAACCCACTGGCCATTGAGGGAATGGGGTGAGGGTGCCCCAGGTTAATCAGTGTGCATTTCCACAAATAGCTGCTTGTTTGAGGCCTTGGATGCTCCTTCACATCAGCTCTCTGTCCCCAGCATGCCATAGCCATGGTTTTTCCACTTCTCAGCCTCTTTGGAGTGCTTTTCAAGAAAGCTTTGGGAGATTTAGTGAAGAACTGTTTAGACACCAACTCAGCGAGTTTTCTTTGGGGTTGACATGCTGCTGCAGCAGATGTCCTTCCCTGGGGAAAGACCTGGGCTGTGGTTGGTTTGCCCTCCATGCTTCAGCGAGGGTGGCCCAATGGGGTGAAGGATGTACTTCCAAGGTAGCCTGGAGGTCAGACATATCCTCCTCTGGGGTGGGTTGGTTTCCCACTGTGGGGGGGCTCCTTATGTGGACACTGACATCACCACACACACATACCCCTGCTGCCCCCCCCATACACACACGAAGCTACCAAGCCTCCTCCATGCCAGAAGTTATGCCATGTCACTTCTACCACATTCTATTGGTAAAGGAGAGCCAGTCCCCAGTCAAGGTGGGGGATTCTACACAGGGCCAGATTACCGGGATGTGGCCCAGTGGAGGCCACCATATCCTGGGCATCCCAAGATCCAAACCCTGGGGGCAGTGTGTGTTCTCTGAGCCTTAGTTTATCAAAAAGTGAGGGGGTGGTGATCGTCTCCAAGGACTGAGTATTACAGCTTCTGGCATGGCCTCATTTCTGCCCAGTGCCTGCCTGGACCTGGGCAGCTCCCTAATGTCTGTCTTGAGCAATGGTCCATCAGATTGCCCCATCCTCAGCCTTCTGGGGGAGTGAGTGTTGCGGCAGTGGGAGAAGGCAGCTGTCCTTTTTGACACCCCATGGGACTTGCCTTGTGGACCAGCTGGGTGGCTACATCCCTCCCACACCTGCCCCAGTCACAGCTGGAATATTCAGACACCTGATCTCTCATTGCTCCTCCTTCTGGGACTGCTCTCTAGCCACAGACTCCCACCAACCAGGGCCACACCCATACTTATAACAATCTGAAAACAACCCAGGGACCAAAGTCTCCAGAATCTGCCATCCCAGGGTTCTATGAAATGTCTGAGGTGAACCAGAGTACAGGAGCAGGGAAGGGGCCTAAGGGAGTATTCCCCTGAGTATGGAAGGAACCCAGCTGTCCTGGTGTCCAGACTGTCATTGATACTTTAGGTGGGTCCTGACAGGAGCCCCGCAAAGGGGTAGCTGAGCCCTAGCCCAGCCCAAGCTACCAGGACTGGAAGTCAGCCAGTGAGGGTCACTGAGGCCAACCTCTGTCCTCCCATCCTGTCCCCCACAGGGCTGAGGCCTAGTAACAGAGACCAGGAGTGATTCTGCCCCAGGGGACATTGGACACTATCTGGAGACACTTAGTTGTCATAATTGGGAGGAGGGAGCTACCTAGTGGGTAGAGGCTACTGATGCTGCTAAACATCCTACAACACACCTGATGGCCCCCATCACAAGAATGATCTGGTCCCAAATAGCAACAGGGCCAAGGACACAGAAACTTGCTCTCAGGAACACACGTGCCAAGGAGCTGTTTCTCTAACTGAAATGGCCTGATGACAGACCAAGGGACTGATGTGCATGTGGGCCTTGGCTTTTATTGAGATTAGACCTGCGGGCTCCCCAGCCTCTTGGGAGCCCCACTCTCTGCTCAGCCTGGCCTCCCAGGTACAAGTGGTTTACTTGAGTTGGAGCAAGCTGCAAGGGCATGCCCAGCCTTCTATTTTTTTGTCCTTCCCTCAGGACCTCCTCCCTCTCCTCAAGTTTTCCCAAGGCTGCCCAGGCTCTGATGCTGGGCAGCTGCAGGTGTCTCCGTCTGGAGGGGCTACTGGTGGGGCTGAGCCCTTTCTGTCTGGACCTGCCTCCGCCACGTCCTGGGTCACCTTTCCCTTACTTTCCTGAGTTGTGAGAACCAGCCCTGGCACTTGGATTCCTATGGCCTCTCCAGAACCCCAGAGCGGGTTCTCTTGCATAATGGACAGGTGGACTCCTCTGAGGCCTCCCAGGACCTCTTGGGCCTGAACCCCAAGACTTCAGGGCCACCAGACTGGGAGGGAGCACTCTTGGCTGGATCCATGCTGGAACTGGATGCTGAGGAAAGAGGGGAGAGAGGAGTCTCTCAGAGGGCCCTAGGGGAGGCTACCAGCCTATCTTATCCTGTGATACCACCTTCCAGAACCTGGTGTCCTTTAAAATAGGAGTGGAGGAGGTGAGTCTCTTGAAAGTTAATCCACGAAGGAGGGAGGAGGGGAGGAGGAAGGAAACATGGTTCAATTTGGAAGGGCCCTTACCTAACCTAAACCCTTCATTTTACAAATGGGAAAACAGGCCCACCCCAGAAGTATGGGAACTCATCAGTTGCAGAGATTGGACAGAAACCCAGGAGGCTTGAGAGTGGAAAAGGGTCCATCTGCATCCATCTGAGTCTCCAACCCAACCCTTCTCTGGGTCTTCCCCTTCCTGCATCACCTGGACAGGTGCTCACCTGTATTTCCCAGGCTGTCCCTGGGCAGTTGAGCTTCCAGAAGGGCTGAATGGTGGCTGTTACCTGGGTTCAGAGTCCCCTGTGGCAGGTCCAAGGGCCAGGCCATACCCTCAGGCCATGGGAGGCAGCCCCCGGCCATGAGACGACCCAGCCAGTGGCTCTCACACTGGCCAGCAGGCTGCATGTGACCTGGCAGGTAGAGTGCCAGGCCCCGGAGGTGGCGCAGTCGGAAGTTCTTGGGCTTGCTTCCCTGGGCACTGGGGCACTGCTGCTGGGCCCCCAGCCCTCCTTCGTAGATGTTGGATGGTGTGTCGGGGTGACTGGGGAGTCCTTGGGCCCAGCTCACGGAATCTGTGGAGGGGAAAGCAGGAGGGTGGTGGCCAATGGGCCACAGCAGCCATGATGGGAGAACAGAATAACATGCTTGTGATGGGCTGGCTCCACGTCAGCCTGCCAAACCTCAGCTTACCTACCTATTAAATGGGCAAATTGTCCCTGCCTCCAGCCTCCCCTGACCCAACATATTACTTCTCTTTCCTCTCCCAGGCAACAGGGAGGTCTGAGAAGCCTGAGCCTTAGCACCAAATTCTCTTCGAGGACTTTAAGCCCTTCTGCCACCCCTTTTTGCCCCCTACCCTAGAAAGAGCATTCTGATGCTAGTATAGGAATTTCACAGTGGGTCCAGAATCACACAGTCAAGGTCACACATCCTGGACCAGTGGCCATTAATCTCTCCCAAGTATGCGTGTCCTTTGTGGCTTTGGGTCCAGGTCAGGACAGGAGGACATCTTCCTTCCTGGCACTCCTCCCCACAGCCCGCACCTTCTCTTATGTGCAGCTCAGAGAACGCACAGACCAAGGCTTCCATTGAGGGCCAGTTTGGTGGGGGAGGAGTGGCCCAGCCTCCTGTGCAGCAGGGTTCTGCTCTCCCCTGCCTAGGGGCTGGGTCTGCAGGTCTCCCTTGGCAACTGGCTATGTGATGTCACAGGGAAGATTTCCAGCCTTCCTGGACCCCCTGAGTTTGGGGTAGGATTATGCCCAGGACCGGGACAGGGTGAGAAGAAGACAAGGGAAGGGGACAGAACCCTAGGGGAGGTCCCTGGTCCTTCTGGCTTGGGACGGGTCACACAAAACAGACTCAGTTCTTCTAGGCTCAAGAGTCTCTTCCAGAGGTGACCTCATATGATCTCAGTTTCCTCATCTGTGGTTGGGAAATGAGGTTTAGGGGCACAAAGAGTGAAACCTGGGTCAGTGCTTTGAGCATGCTGATAAGGTGGTTCTGAGTGACTGGGTAAGTCACAACTTTTTTTTTAGTCATAACTTATTTAACCATCCATTTTCCCATAAGTAAATGACAGGGTATTGTGTGCCTCATACCAAGTGTGAGGAAAGGCATTATAGAGGAACTGCAGCTCTCAAATACTGCTGGTGGGAATGTTAAAAGGCACCGCCACTTTGGGAAACAATTTCTTAAAAAGTTAAACTTTCAAATAAAAGGCATCGAGGTAGGAAAGAAAGAAGTAAAACTTCCATTATTTGCAGATGACATAATAACTATAGAGCGAACCCTAAAGAGTCCATGAAAAAGATATTAGAAGTGACAAAGGAATTCCATAAATTAGCAGAATACAAAATATTCAAAAATTGGTTACATTTTTAAAAATTTACTGTTGAAAGTATTACATATGTACCCCCCATTGATCCTCTCCACCCCACAACCACTCTACCCCCAGGCCTTCCCCATACCAATGTCTGTGTCAATAGGTTATTCATATAAGCATATAGGTTCTTTGATTAACCTCTCCTCACCCACTCCCCAACCCACCTTCCCTCTGAGATCCCTCAGTCTGTTCCATAGAAATCAGTTGCATTTTTGTATACTAATAACTATCAGAAAGAGAAATTAAGGAAACAATACCATTTACATTTGCATCAAAAACTATAAAATAGTTAGGAATAAATTTAACCAAGGATGTAAAAGACCTGTACTTGAAAAATTATAAGACATTAAAGAAGATACAAATAAATTGAAGCATATACCATGCTCACGAATAGGAATTTAACATAGTTAAAATGTCCACACTACCCAAATCAATCTATAGTTTCAAAGCAATCCCTATCAGAATACCAATGGCATTTTTTACAGAGCTAGACAAATAATCCTAAAATTTATATGGAACCACAAAATACCCTGGATAGCCAAAGCAACTTTAAGATGAACAAGCTAGGGTAGTGTTTCTCTCTCTCTCTCTCGCTCTCGCTCTCTCTCGCTCTCGTGCCTTGCCCCCTTCTTCCCCCAGGCACTTTACCTTTGCCTTTCTCCTATGCTCCTTATTTTGACTCTGTAACTTGTTTCCTGAGCCCACGCATCCCAGCTGGCTCACTTTTTCTACCTCTGTGACTTTGTAAATAAGCTTTTTTTTATAAAAAAAAAAAAAAAAAAAAAAAAGAGCAAAGTTGGAGGTATTGTGCTACCTGATATCAAACTATACTACAAGACTGTAGTAATCAAAACAACGTGGTACTGGCATAAAAACAGACACATAGATCAATGAAACAGAATAAAGAGCCCAGAAATTAATTTATGGCAAAGGAGGCAAGAATATACAATGGGATAAAGACAAAGCCAGTCTCTTCAATAAATGGTGTTGGGGAAACTGACAGGTATATGCAAAAAAATAAAAATAAAACGACAACTATTGTACACTATATACAATAATAAACTCAAAATGGATTAAAGGCTTTTAAATGTAAGACTTGAGCCTGGCCGTGCATTGCTCAGCAGTTGAGCATCAACCTAGGATCCAGGAGATTGTGGTTCGATTCCCAGTCAGTGCACATGCCCAGGTTGCAGGCTCCACCCCTAGTCGGGTGTGCAGGAGGCAGCCGATGAATGATGACTCCCATCATTGATGTTTCTTTCTCTCCCTCTCCCTTCCTCTCTCTGAAATCAATAAAGATATATTTTAAAAAAATAAATGTAAGACTAGAAACCATAAAACTCCTAGAAGAAAACATAGGCAGTAAACTCTCTGACATGGCTCGTAGCAGTATTTTTTTGGATATGTCTCCTCAGGCAAGGGAAACAAAAACAAATGGGTCTATATCAAACTTAAAAGGTATTGTGCAGCAAAGGAAACCATCAACAAAAACACAACCTACTGAGTGGGCGATTATATTCACAATGATACACTGATCAGGGGTTAATATCCAAAATATATAGGGAACTTGGCACCAAAAAGACAATCTGATTTAAAAATGGGCAGAGGACCTGAATAGACATTTCTCCAAAGAGGACATACAGATGGCCAATAGACATAAGGAAAGATTCTCCACATCACTAATCATAAGGTAAGTGCAAATTAAAATACAATGGGATATCACCTCACAACTGTCAAAATGGCTATTATCAATAAATCAAATGGTGAAGGTGTGGGAAAAGGGAACCTTTGTGCACTGTTGGTGGCATTACAAATTGGTGCAGTCACTATGGAAACAGTACGAAGTCCTCAAAAAATTAAAAATAGAACTATCATGACCCCACAATTCCACTTCTGGGTATTTATCCAAAGACACCCAAAACACTAATTTGAAAAGATATGCATCCCTATGTTCATTGCAGCATTATTTATAATAGCCAAGATATGGAAGCAACCTAACCACCCATTGATAGATGATTGGATAAAGATGTGGTACCATACACAGGGTGTCCCCCCAAAATGTATACACACTTTAATAGCTGATAGCTCAATTTTGAAAATGAAATGTATTTTAATAAGCACTGCCTTTATAATTTTTCAAAGTGTGTGTATACATTTTTGGGACACCCTTTATATATACTAGAATATTACTTGGCTATAAAAAAGAATGAAATCTTACCATTTGTGAAAACATGGATGGACCTAGAGGGTATTATGCTAAGTGAAATTCAGAGAATAAGTTAGATTTCACTTATATGTGGAATCTAAAAGAAAATAAATGAGTGAACAAAACAGGAACTCATAGGTACAGAGAACAAATTGATAGTTGCCAGATGGGGAGTTGGGAGACTTGGTAAAAAGAGTAAAGGGTTTAAGGACAAATTGGCAGTTACAAAATAGTCATGGGGGCCCTGGCTGGGTGGCTCAGTTGGTTAGAGTGTCCTCCCGATACACCAAGCTTGCAGGTTTGCTCCTGGTAAGTGCACATACAAGAATCAATCAATGAATGCATAAATAAATGGAACAACAAATTGATGTTTCTCTCTCCCTCTCCCCCTCCC